GCAAGTCTAGCGAAGATGGAGGGCTAAAGTGCAAAGGGTGCGCATCGGCCCATGATGCGCACGATTGGGCGAACAAGCTATGCACGCGAGCCGTGCGGGGCATACGCGGGTGCGCATGGACGGATGGCAGGTATGCGGGCTGTTCGTTCTATTTTTGTTAGTGTTTTTCGTGTCCGTTTTATCTTTATTTTTCCCTATTCTAGGTGCTTTTCTTTGGTTCTTGGTCCATTTCGAGTCTTGTCGTGCTTTTCCTTTGTTTTGTTCATCTTTGGTCTTTTTGTTTCTTTTCTCCAGTTTTTCGTGTGTTTCTTGTCGGTGGTGATGTGCAGGATGAGTTGCTCGTTGAATGGCCATGTGAGGACTACCATATAGGCGGATGAGTTGGGATCGAGTAGAAAGAGACGGAATCCGATCCCGAATCCGGATGCGTGCATACGAGGCCAAAAACCGTCACCTTGCCAGAAAAAGCCTTCACCGCGGCCGCGGGGAGAAAAATTCTTCGCGCCAAGTTTTACACGCCGCGGCCCGCGACTCTTCCTTCGCCGCGGCCGCGGCGAACAAAAAAGTTCCAGAATTTAAGTTCTCATGTCTTGGAAACTCGTGGCCTCGGGAGTTGGTCGCGGCCGCGGAGGTTCTTCGCCGCGGCCACGAGATACTCCGCGGCCCGCGGAGGCCGCGACGTGCAGAATATTAAAGTCAGATTTTGTAATCGTTTTTCATTATGTTTAAACTAGGTTTTGGACATCTTGTTCGTACTTTTCCATTCCATAACACTTTTCTCTTAGTTTTTCGTTGATTTCAATTTTGGATAGTGAAAACTTGAAGGTTTGACTTTTCGATTCGGATTACTCGTTGTTTTCCATCATTAGATTCCTTTTAATCGTAAGCTTCTATTTCTTTTTACTCATGAAATCTATGGCTTTGCTTGATATGGATGTTTATGTTGAGATTGCTATGAGTAGCTAAAATTCTCTAGCTAGGGTTAGGGGATTATCGTTACGGTTCGATCTCGTTTAAATGGTTGATAATTGCTTAATCTTTCCGAGTTGTGCTTAACCTAGGGTTTAGATGCTTGATCACCATCTTAACCTAATTAATTGATTTTGAAACCGAAAGGGGAGAAATCGTTTGATCTAGGCTCGTTAAGAATAGGCTTGTTCGGTAACGTATTGTCTATGTGTTAATTGATTCATTAAATATTTGTTTATGTTTATTCTCTTGTTTCGTAAGATATTGAGAATGAATCTCTAGATAAGTTAGTTTTTCGAGTCCTTTAGTCGAGTAATTGATTGCTCGTTAAATGTATTGAGAACCGGAAGCGATATCCCCGATACCCTAGCCTCCTTAATACTATTTCCATTCGTGTTCAGAGTAGTGAAGTTGATATAATTAGCATAATTTTCATACTCGTAGTTGATAAAATCATACCAAAACAATTTGAATTAGAGTGTTTAGGACTTGTTTCTCATTTCTTGTGTTTGAATAAACGCGCAATTTATTCCGGCTGACCTTCCTTGAGATACGACCCGGTGTCGAATCTGTAGATTCTACTCCGGTAAAAATATTTACAACAAATTGGCGCGTTGCCCGGGAGGGTTTAGGATATATTTTGTGCGCTTATTCAGTTTATTTTTCGTGTTTCTCTTGTTTTCTTTTTATTTGTTTAGGTGTTAGTTCTTTATTTTCTTTTGTTTTCATTTTATTTTCTTTAGTCTATCATTGGTGCTCGTAACCCTTGTTGGTCTTAGTGTATGCGTACCAAGAGTGGACGCAAACTGCTATCTCCAATCAATAAATCAGTCAACGAGAGCTTGAGGGAGCTGCTGGAAGAGCTCACTCTCGAATAACACGAAGGAGACGAGCATTCTCCGAAATAGTCAGAAGGCAGTAACTTAGACATGGGTGAACAACAACAAAAAGCTCCTCGTAACACCCTCCGAAACTTAGCCCAACCGGTTATCGGGCCAGTCACTTCATGCATTCGTTTGCTGGATGTTGCACGAAACTACGAGCTCAAAATGATTCACTACAACCAGCAGCCGGCATTCCACGGGTTTCCAAGCGAGGATCCACTCAACTTCATCCGGGAATTTTACAATGTCCTCAACACTTTCCCTCTCAGTGGGCTTAATGACGAGCAGTTGAAGATGAGATGCTTTCCTGAGACACTAAAGGACCGGGCCAAGGCCTGGTTCATGACGCTTGCACCGGGCTCTCTCACCACTTGGACCGAGGTATACTCAAAGTTTATTGGGAGGTACTACTCTCATCAAAAGACCCAAGATCTTAGGTCACAGATCGTCTCGTTTGCTCAATTACCGAACGAGTCTCTTCATGAGGCTTGGGAGCGGTTCAAGGATCTTCAGCGGCAGTGCCCCCATCACAACCTCTCTCCGGGGCTACTCATGAACTGCTTCTACGATTCCCTCCACCAGAACTTGCAGTATATGGTCGACAATGCGGCAGGAGGTGATGTCGGAGCAAGGAAAGCCGAGGAGATGTTTGAAATTTTTTAGACGATGAGTACGAACTCATCGTAGAAGAGCACTCGAGGCAAGAGAGCGATAGTGAATGAGGTCGGAGCAGGCCATGACTTGGTGGCCCAACAGCTAGCTGAGCTTACTGAGTAGATGAGGTTGCTTACCGCACGAGGATCTCAGCCGGTCAACACATTTGCCGTTGACACATGTGGGGCATGTGGAGTCCCAGGGCATAGGTCTGAAGTATGCCCCTCATCTTTCGAGCAGGACTCCGGCGAGCAGTATGCGGATGCCAGTTCTT